AAGAGAGAGAGAGAGAGAGAGAGAGAGAGAGAGAGAGAGAGAGAGAGAGAGAGAGAGAGGAGTTGAATGGAACTTGAAACTTTAAGGCAAACTCTGTGCTTTGCAGTAATAGAAAAAAACAGACTCTCGGGATGTAAGGTGTGTTGGAGGGGGCCCATCGGGGAACTTTTCCTGCCTCTTTGTGTTCATCCCATGTTAATTATTTTACACAGGCTGCAACTTATTAAAAAAAGGGAAAAGGAAATAGGACGAGTTCTCAGTTTGTGTGCCTCGTCCTTGAGCATAGCCCATGCTAATCTTCTTGTGTGTACCGTCTCAATTCAATTTTAATTTTTAATGGATGTGATGATGTCCGGCGGAAGGACAACTGCAACAATTTTCTTCTTATGTTTGGGTCTATTCATTTAGTGAAACTGACTCCTCCTCTTCCCCCCCCCCCCCTTCCCCCCCCTCCCTTCCTTTCTCCCCTCCTCCCTCCATTGCTCTCTGGGCCATGGTTGATGTATTGCCCCCACAGGCCGCAGAACAACACAAGTTAAGTTTCTTGTCACCAGAGGGTTGGTTTGGTTGAAGCAGCTGCTGTCACTTTTGCCACATTATCTTTCGCAGCGCTTCATCCCCTCCTCTGTGCCTTCCACTCAGCCTGCTCTTCATGGCTGCAAGTGCTCGGTGCCCCCCGGGGTCGGTCGCCTCCTTCGCTCCTTCTCATCCACAGTCACAGATCTCGCAGTCATGAAGGCAAACCGTGTGATGGAATTGATAAGTACTGGCAATGCCACCATGCTGGCAATGGCACCAATGGCACCATTTCCTTCTTCTCAAGTGCGAGAACACCAAGTAGTCCATGGACACGCAACAACTAGATCGTCCTGCTCACCCTCTTCTGTCAAACAAGTGCCTTCTGTCCAGAAAGTGCCTGCATTCTCCACCTCTGTGGTAGTAGATTGCAGACACAATGCTGCAAAAAGAATCATTCATAGACCGCAGCAAGCACGACAAGCAAGACAAGAGGCATGTGTTCACGGGCCTTGGCGGATGCAGCAGCAGCAGCAGGGTGTATGGGGTCATTCAAGAGCTGTGAGGGGCGCCGTTGCCACCGTGACAGGGTCTCAGATACCCACACTGATTGCAAGAGGTAATGATGTGCTGGGTGGGGTTAAGCGACGACCCCTCCTGCTGCATGGGTCATCCTCACACCTCTCCTCTGTTGCCGTTCTTCTGTGTGGGTTACTTTTCACGGCTGCAAAGTCAGCTCTCCCAGTTGCTGTGTCTGATCCCCCCTGCCGACATGGATATGGCAGACCACTGACAACGACACAGCGAGAGCCTAGTACTAATAAGATAGCCTCTGCTGCTGCCGATCCTCTTCCTGCGCTCGCGAAGGATTCAAAGAAAGCCTGTGCTGCAGATCTGCTTAAGTTGCTCACGAATGACCCAGCGCTAAACCCAAAACGGGCGATGGATTTAAGGAAGTGCATATGGCCTTTGATTAGTGCAACGGAACTCTCATCATCATCATCATCATCATCACCAGCACCACCAGCACCACCATCCTTGCCACCATCATTATCATCATCATCTTATGTAAAGAATGCGGTAGACGAAAAGCAGCAACATGTCAGTCGGGTTTTGCTTGATCTGCCTCATTCTGTGAGGAATGGGGTGGTGGATCGTCAGTCAGCATGGAGGACTTTGACTTCGCAGCAGCAGCGCAGAGCCACCAAGCAGAGCAAAATGAATGATGTGGATGTGGAGGTGGAGGTGGAGGTGGATGTGCTGCAAGGACATGGTGGAAGGAAGCGGTTTTCGGAGAAGACAAGGAAAATAATTGATTGGTTGATAAAGCGACCGCCTTGCAGCGTTCTGAACATGTCAGAGGCTGCTGCGAGATCGGGAGGCGACCCGGAGTCCATCCGGAGATTCCTTTCGCCTGTTGCTGAGCAGGTCCCTGACATCGAGGGGGCTTTCGCTGCCAAGTGCCAATTGTGCCAACGGCCAACAGGGCAGCGATTTGCAGACAGAGAAGCCAACCAATACTTTGCAATGTTATTTGAAGTCATTAAGGACAGAGCCCCTGTGTTGGGCATCTCCATTGCGCTGAGTCGATTTGACCTGTTTCATGGGCACATCTTCACTGCATTTGGGACTGGACAGTTAGGCATCCTTTTCCATGCGCGCGAGTACCCAGCTGAGGACGATATTACCTTTCCGTACAATCTTGGGTTTTGCCAGCGTGGCTCGCCCATCAGGTACGACTCGGCTATGGATTTCCGTAACTTACTGTGGCTGGCACCGCTTGTGCAGCTCTTGCCTACCGAGGCCCCGGAGAAAAGAATCCCCCGTGTCCTATCCTCTGGAATGCTCTGCGCGGTGGATGTTTCGCCTGAGACGGTCTGCTACGAGGAGCTGGTGGATGAATGGTTGAAGCTCGTACGGACTGTGTACGAAGGGGATTTTGGGAATGTTGTCGCAGACATCAACTATTTTGGGTCTCTGACGGACAGACCTCCGGAAAATAGACTTTTTGTTTGCTAGTCCAGTAAGGCAAGCTGGTGAGTGCACACTCAAACCAGTGCACAACTCCCGAGAGAACTAACCTGACCTAATCTAACCTAACCTCACCTCACCTAACCTAACCTAACCTAACCTAACCTAAGTTAACCTGACCTGACCTAACCTAACCTAATCTGTCCTAACCTAACCTATCCTCCACAGAACGCATGCTCGATTGCCTGTTTATCTCAGTTGAAAAAGTGGTCTCTGCTGGTCAGGGAGACTCAATCAGTGCACAACTACGGAGAGAATTGACCTGACCTAACCTAACCTAACCTAACCTGACCTGACCTGACCTGACCTTAACCTAATCCTTAACCTAACCTAACCTATCCTCCACAGAATGCATTCTCGATTTCCCTGTTTATCCCAGTTGAAAAAGTGGTCTCTGATGGTCAGGTAGACTCAATCAGTGCACAACTACGGAGCGAATTGACCTAACCTAACCTAACCTAACCTAACCTAACCTAACCTAACCTAACCTAACCTAAACTAACCTAACCTGACCTGGCCTGACCTAATCTAATCTAACCTAACCTGACCTGACCTAACCTAACCTAACCTGACCTAACCTGACGTGACCTGACCTAACCTGGCCTAACCTGACCTGACCTAACTTATCCTCCACAGAATGCATGCTCGATTGCCTTTTTATCTATCTATCTATTTTACCTGGCCAGGAATTGCTGTAGCTGTGTGTGTAGTAGTCAGTGCTTAATTGCTTGTCAAGCGTTCTCTAACTGACGGACAGATAAGTTGTTCAGAAAGTTATCTACTGGGCAGCCTTGTGTTGTAGATTCTTCGCCTTTCTCTTCCAGAGTTTTGGAAGATTTCCCTGTTTATGTCTTCGCTTCAGTATTACAACTGATTTAAGTATAGTTGTGAGCGATGAAAAAACTATCGACTGTTCTAGAATGCGATGACTCATCTGCTAAATGCAGAGTTCACTTCAGTCTACCTCCTCATGGATGAATTGCTACCTCACAAGTCTGTAGACCACTGATGCTGACTGACTCTTTGCTCTACTAAATGAACACAATGTAGCCAGCCATAGCCAGCCATTGGTTTTCCTCACCTCAGGAAGATCTCCTCCTCAAGTTTTTGTTTTTCCTCTTTTTGAAGTTTTTTCCCTTTTGCAATAAAAGCCGGATAATATACCCACCCCATGTGGCTGAATGGTAACCCATATAGTTAATTGTTAGTGTAAGCAGACGTGAGTTCAAACCCTGACTGATCCGTTCGATAAAAAGTTAGATAAACACAGTAAAGTTAGGGGCTGTCCCCTTTCTCTTTTGACAAAAAGAAAAGAAGGTCTGGATAACGCAGCCGACCCCTCTTAAGTAAAGATGGTGCCTTCATCTTAAACCACCAGTACTTGGGCACTGCGCGCCACGCCGGCGGCCCAAATCTCGAAACAGCGCGGGCTGTCGATTCTATTTATCGACGGCCCGCCGGCCGCGGAAATCGCATAGTGTTAACGCCTGTCTCTTATACACATCTAGATGTGTATAAGAGACAGGTACAGGATGGATAACCTCCATTGCACAAGGAACAGTTCATTTCTGGGGAAAATCAAACGCCTATGCAAGGGCAGTACCCTTGAGACTCTACCTTTTCCCAAATACAATCTACGGTCATTTTAGCTGTATTTCGGTCTTTCATTCTAAATACAGCTATAATGACTGTACGTTCTATTCGGGGGAAGAAGGTAGTGAACTCCCCAGTTGCGCTTGAGATTTTTGTCATTTTGGCTGGGGTGCACTTGAGTTTCAAGGGCGGACCCTTGAGATGGAAAATGTGAAAACGTTTCCATCTCCAAAATCGTTGTCATTAGGGTGTTGTGGAAGGATGCTTCCCCTAAAATACTTGAGTTTCAAGTGGTGTCGAACGAGGCCCTGGCTCTATCACCTCGCTCTACTACCAGTCATCACACGCACAAAGGACAGACAATATGGCGGCGTATCTTTTTTTTTTTTTTTTTTTTTTCACAGGCCCAACCAATTCAATTGTCTGTCCAATCTGATAGGAAGGCCTTTCAGGCCCCTTTTACTGTCAGTCATTATGGCAGCCACATCCGGGGCAAGGTCCCACTTGCACGGATTCGTAGATTCTGGCCGTTGATCTTTGCTATCTACGGTCAATATCTCTTAATTTGTGTAAGTGGGACCTAGCCCCCGTGCTCAAGCCTCCAATGAGGGAACATGAGGGAGCTGCACCTATCAGCAGGTGCGATACCTGTTACAGCAGGTGGAAGATACCAGCCAGGGGTCAGCCGGTAGCATCAGGACCGAGCTTCTTAGATTAGATGGGCCGGTCTCTTTGCCTCCTCTCCGGGCCCCCTCCCCTATGAACATCAGCAGTCTCTGCTACATGCCACTCGGCGGGGCCAACGGTGGACGCCAAGGTTGATCAGTAAGGTACCTGAGGCCATTGGGGATTGAACCCAAGACCTCCTGAATGCCTCTTAGTGACTTGACAACTGAGCTAGGTCGCTGAATATGCATCTTCCCAAGTTCTAGGGGAAGATTCATTCTCATTTGCACATTTGGTGAGTGACGGAGCGATCATCCTCGTTTTGCACGTGCATGCAAAATGAGGATGATCGCTCCATTACTCACCAAATGTGCAAAATGAGAATGAATCTTCCCCTAGAACATGGGACCACACACCTGCATATTTTTTGTCTTTTGTGCATGTGGTGCGTGGTGGAGCGAGGCCCTTGTGAATGAAGTTTCTGGATTATTACTTGTTGTCATTTGAGTGCTACTCGTCTCAAGTGTTTCTCTTCCCCCTCCTACCTTCTATCTTCCCCCATCTTTTTTTTTTTTTTTTTTTTCTGAACATCTTCCCCCATCTTCCCTATCACATCTTTCGTTGAAGTCTGCAGGAAAAAAAAAAAATAAACCAAAAAAACACGCTCCTTGGCCATCTTGTTGCGTATAACCAAAGCAAAGCTGAAAACATGAGCGCGGGTTTCCCGATTGAAGCTGGTCGGATTTCGCCGCGATTGCCCCTAGATTCATCAGGCCGCGCCGTGATTGCGGTCAGATGCATTCAGAAAAGTCCTCGTGTGATTATGCCCTAAGAATCACAATGCGAGCAGAGAACAGAGAGAGAGAGAGAGAGAGAGAGAGATAGGGTTTTGTGGAGGTGAAAAGAAGAAGAATGAAACGTGGCGACCGGACTGTACGTGACACGTGGCGAAGCTCTATGCTTCCGGCAATGGATATGGAAAACATAGAACGATGTTTTTTTTTTTCAAATCGTAAAGGGGGAAAGGGCCGGTGGGAAGGGGAGGGGCGGGGGGGAGAAAGAAAAAGAATCTCAAGATGGAGGAGGTGAAGAAGTGCAAGCGGGGAATGGAAGGACAGGAAGTAAAGGAAAGGAAGTGGAGAGAAATGGAAAAGGGGAGAAATGGAAAAGGGGAGGAGGAGGAGGAGGAGGAGGAGGAGAGGTAGGAGTAGGAGAAGGAACAGGAGGAAGAGGCGGAGAAAAAATGAAACAAAGGAAGAAGAAAAGAAAGAGACGGAAGAACAAGAAGAACGAACACTGAACAGAACAAGGAGAGAGAAAGAAGATGAAGAATAGTGACAAGAAGGGGACAGAGCTGCCCACCAGACACGCTTCCACAAGAAAAAAGAAGTTCATCCGCAGCTCTCAGAAAAAAGAAGGCCCAATTCCCCTCAGGGGGCGTTTCGGCTAATCAGGCTGCGCTCCTGGCACTCATTCCTCAGGGGGCTTCTCACCAGATCCGCCTTCCTTGCGGGACCACCACCAGACTTTCCGACCAAGCAACTGAGAATAGAGGGCCGACGGCCTTGCCCTCCCCCGTTTATACCATTCTGCTAGCTACCGACGTAGTCCCACACGCGTCGTCCTACCGGTAGTCCGTCGTTCTACCGGTAGTCCGCTGCGTCCTTCAGTTACGTATCGGCAGCATTCGAATTTGAAATCGGCTTACAACTGATTATCCCGCCAAGAAATTCCGACTAACCGGCAGCAGATAACCAGGATTTCCGCGGAATCGGAAATCCAGGGGTACTGCGGGCGCTGTACGCCTTCTTTTCCCCTCGAATTAATAGTACTATCTACTCAGTAGCCTATGCTAAGCTATTAATTTCCGCACAGATAGGTACTCCTTAACTTCGGGAATACAGCAGATTTCAGACCTTGCCCATGAGACCAGCAAAGAAACGGACAAATTTCCACGTATCTTTGTCAAACTGGACGTGCGCTTTCAAATAAAAAGTCTAAACAGGAGAAGAAGAAGATGAAGAAGAAGGGGAGGAAGAAGACGAAGAAGAGCAAGCGGGAGAATAACAAGGAAAAGAAGAAGAAGAAGAAGAAGAAGAAGAAGAAGAAGAAGAAGACTGATAAGCAGGGGCTAGAACTGCCTTCATACACGCTTTTCAAAGCTGAAATTTCATTGAACTTCTTCCGAATGTACAACCATCTCTGTAACGCGCACATTCCTCTACTCGTTTCAGCTGTGCACCTGGTCCTCATCAGCGGTCGGTTCATGCACCAGCCAGCCTTGCGGTGCCACCTATCATCCTGTCATCCTATCAACTAAGAGCTGAGAAGAAGAAGAAGGAAGAAGAAGAAGACAAAGAAAGAAGAAGAAGAAGAAGAAGAAGAAGAAGAAGAATTGAAATTGAATTGAAATAGCGAGGCCAATCGCTATGCGTCCATGTCATTATGAGCTCAAATCAGTAATGGCGAGGCCAATCACCACGTGTCCACGCTTACGAGTATTCAATAGCCTGCATGGACATTAAAGCTCACAAATCCCGCACATTCCCCAACGCGTTTCGCCTGGCTGCGCTCCAGGACTTATCAAGGGGCAAACCACACTCCCGCAAGAAAACAGAAAGAAGAAAGAAGAAGAAAGAAGAAAGAAGAAGAAAGAAGAAGAAGAAGAAGAAGAAGAAGAAGAAGAAGAAGAAATAGAAAGGAAGAAGAAGAGAACTGCGATTTGTGCCCCTAGTTGTTTTCCTCCTCATGAAAATGGACCCGAAAATGCCCCATGGAAAATTTCGGATAGCAAATTAAATTTAGGAATAGCAAAAATGGCAAAATGCCCCTTTGTTGATGGCGTTTTTTTTGTTGGTTGTATGTAGTAGGCAATCACCGAAAACTCGTGGACAATTGTTTCGCATGATTTATTTAATTTTTTTCTACGTATTTGTATGTTTTCTAAAACCCTAAACCCAAATGACCTGAAGTCAGGTAGTACGTCCTTCGGGACATCCGTTAAAATTGGAACGATACAGAGAAAGAAAAGATTAGCATGGCCCCTGCGCAAGGATGACACGCATAAATCGAGAAATGGTCCAAAAAAAAAAAAGAAAAAAAAGTCAGGTAGTAAAAGAAAAAAAGAAGTGTGAGGTAACCAAAAAACGCGAACACACCAGCTGGCCTATGTAGCTCAGGGGGTACACCTCTTATCTGTTGAAATACACACCCCTGGAGCGAGGTCCCACTAGCAAAGGGGATTGGATAAATATCCTGAATCTGGACGTGTTTTAAGCAGACATGCAGAAAAGCAGTTCAATCTCGACATTCTGCACCTTTCCAGAAACACGTCCAGATTCAGGTCTTCAATCCTATCCTCTTTGCTAGTGGGACCTCGGCCCTGTTCGAATTCCACTGGAAGCAGAGCAGCAGAGCAGATGAGTGAAAGACAGTACTTCAATTCTGAATTACCTAGGGCAGGTCAGTTGGGTGAGATAGGTAATTGAATCGGTTGGGCTTAAAAGTTAAAAAGAATTAGCCTTTTAAACCTTTTTATTAAATAAATAAATAAAAATAAAAAGCCTCAAGGCTGTCGCCTTTTTTTTTTTTTTTTTCCTAAATATTTATAACAAAACGCGAACACAATACGGCAAACGTAACGGGAGGGCAACTACATGGTTACAAACATGAGCAGATGAGGAGCCGTGGGAGTCGGGACCACGTGGTAATGCTAACCCTGATGCGAGCGAATGTCGGGACCAAGAGTGTGGAACCAAGTGGTAGAAAACGGCGTTCCGTTACGTGTAGTGCCAG